TCTCCGACTCAGCTTTAAAATTAGCGGGCCATATGCTCGCAAGAAATGTCCCCGCAAGAGAGAGAACATCCCTCTTTGAAATCTTGAAGGAAACCTAACTGGACGTTGCTTCGCTATGTATTATCGCGATACCTTCAACAATTCAGAAGAGCTATTTCGTATCGCACGTCAACACTCGTGCCTTGAATCGTTGAGAAATATCGCTCGCGATATTTACAACGTCGGATTAACTGTGACTTCGAATAATCGAAAAGTATGGTGTCCCATTAACCTCCTCCTCCTCCTCCTCCTCCTCGACGCCATGTCGCCCCGCGCCATATTCTAGGCTGTGTACCTTAATAAGCAAGACAGTTCACCGGTAAATATCGTTAATGCAGATATGAAACGCTGCTGGCGGAAGAATGACGTTATTAATGGCACGTCTGTCCGCGAAGCTTTGCGCGAATGCATTCATCCTTCGATATTTTCATACACGTTAGCCGCGCGCGCGCGCACGCGCACGCCCGCGAGCTCCGGTTAAATTACGGTAATTACGGACTTTCTCGCTGACGCGTACACGTCGCGCGTATGTACCACGCACGCTACGCCCCCGACAGCGTTGCGGTAATTAATGCCACGACAGGCCGACGGTCCTCGAGAAACGGGCGCGTCTCCTTCGCGATGTAACGATCAACGGTTAATTTTGCTCCTCCGCATTTGTGTTTACCGAGCCCTCCGAGTCCTCGACGAGGACGCGGAGGATCAGTGTCATTTCGTACATCTTCATTCCTCATTAAAGCTCAATTAAAAAGCGAGTTTGCGTTTCACGGGTCGGTAGCCGGGTCCGCGACGTCGTCAACAAGAAATAATTTTCCTCTTACGTGACCACGCGCTGTACGGCAAATTTATTCTGTCGTCTCTTTCTACAAACGACTTTTTCTTTTCTCATGTACACGCGCGTCCTAAATCCGTGCGATGTTACTCCTCGCGCGACTCTCAACTCAAACTTCCGCGAGATCGCCGAAATTCCAAAGTTCGACTAAAGCTGGATTGTCGGTGTTCAGTTAAGTTTACGTCCATCGATCCTACATAACAATGCGGGAAAACAGAATTGGAGCCAAGAAATTTTTCCAAGGATTTTTTTTTTTCTCAAGACAAACACCCTGTTCTTGCCTCTCCTTCCTTCCTTTTTTTTCTCTTTGCTTTCTTCGATCGCCGGCCGTTTGGCTTGGTTCAACGAGGGAATCTGAAACTCGCCGATTGTCTTCAAATGAATTAATCAATGTTTCTCGGTCACGCGTTAAACCACACACATATCCAACGCCAAAGGAGACGGCAAAGAAGAAAGCGAAGAAACGAATCACTAGACGGCGGAAGAAGTGACTCACCGGTAATGACGTCAGCGGTGGAAAGCAAACCGGATCTCAAGTTTTCCCGCGGCGGACGGTAGTCGATAGACCGGCGGCGCGGCGATTCGATTCACCGGGCCGGCCTGGCCGAGCGAGGACGACGTCGATGACGACGATGACGATTCTTCTTCCGTGCAACAGTTACGACGCACGCACGCACGCACGCCCGTACACATATGGTACGTACACACACGCGGGCCGGCGCGTATTCCCCTATTTCAAAAATTCGATCAGCCGTTCAATCCGTGAGACTCGCGACGCCGCGACGTCACACGGCATACTCGGCGTCGACGAGCGTGCGCGCGCGCGCGCGCGCGCTCGCTCGCGAAGAAAAGTCTTCCTTGCTGTCTCTTTTCTTCCCCTCCGTCACACACTTCCGCCTCTTCTCTCGCTTCCTCGCTTCCTCACGTTCCCGTGTGTGTTTACTTCACCTTTCGTTACTTTGCCGCACTTCCTCGTCTTCTTCTTCTTCTTCTTCTTTTTCTTCTTCTTCTTCTTCTTCTTCTTCCTTCTCCTCCTCCCTTCTCCCCTCTCTGCCTGTCGTACTGCACCGCGCACTGTCTCACCCTTGTCCACGTGCACTGTCACGCGGCACTGCACACACGCGTAGACATTGCCCGTAGAACCGCCGAAACTCACGTCTCTTCCTTCTCTTGTTTCGCCGCCTCCTCCTCTTCGTGTCGCCGCTTCCGCTGCGATCTCTGCGGGAAGGAAGGGGTCATGGGAAACTCCAAGTTAATCGCTGCGGTGTGAATGTAGACGGCGATGAACGCCGCTACTCGACCGCCGACGCACGCGACTCGACGCGTCCGCGAACGCGCACGCGCCCCCGCGGGGAAAGCGCGGCTCGCTATCGCAGCGGGGGTGGTATAGCCTCTCGACCGATTCGAAGCGAAGAAAACCGTTTGCACGCGCTTTCACGCCGATCCGCATGCGATAACTAAAATATCGAGATGCCCGTCTAAGATATTTTTAGATGTCACAGGGGGTTGTTTGCTTTATTCATGCGCCATATATATTTATCTACAGATATCATTCCTACGTTGTTACGTCCGTTACGTTGTGATGTTCGTTGTTTATCTTGTTATGTCACGTCTATTTTTACCTAAATAAGTTTGTAAGTCGGGAATAAATTTGGACGTTGACCATGGATGCCAAATATCTAATTAAGAAGAGTCTCAGTTTTTCCTTTTTCCCTTTTTTTTTTTTTTTTTTTTTTTTTTTTTTTTTTTTTTTTAATTTTGTTTCTCTCCGGATAGAGAGTGTCGGCTACGTGTCTTCAACCGCCCCCGGGTTATATAACCCTCTTTTCGTCCTATTATTTTTCAATCTCTTGTGCAATTAAGCACCGTATTCTTTTAATCCGTGTATAAGTTTCCACAAGAAACTCTCAAAAATTGATGAAACAATATATGGGAGAGGGCCAGGTTTGAATCTGCTATCCATCGATTATGAGTCGAGCGCGTCAAGCACTGAGCCACGCGTCGCCCCCCACTCTCAGTTTCCGAGATTTCTCCTAGGTTAGCATCCGTGGTCAACGTCCAAATTTATCCACCCGAACCACTTACAAACTTATTTAGGTATAAAAATAGACGTGACATAACAAGATAAACAACGAATATGGTATATCACAAACTCGGACGTAACAAAGTATAGGAATGATATCTGTAGATGAATATATCTTCTTTCAATCCCATTGTTCTGAGCGTGGTGGATCTCTCTTATTGTACTTGCGATGCGCACGACGATTATACACCGCGAGGTTACGCAATTCGAGTATTTCGAATCATGCATCCGCGCTTAATCGTCGGCTCCGGTCGTTTTAACGGGCGAAGCGGACGAAGTAACCGCGGCGACACGCGTTGTTTAATCGAAGAGCATTGCACCGACCAACGATCGCATGTACGTACGTGTCGTTATATACGACAATATACTAAGAACAAGATACACACGCGACACGTGTTCCGCCGCGAATTGAAGACGTAAACGATCCATGGCGGTATTAATACCGGAACGTATGTCGATATATAAAACGTCTCGAAAAATGACATATTCGCTCTCTCTAGCGGCTCTAAATGTGGTTGCAGTCTGGAGTTAAACAATTTATTTCGATTTAAATGTGTTCAACACACGCTGGAGACATGTCGGCATGTCGGCGATTGCAAGTTTCTCACGTTTTGTCGAGCAGACGTCAGCGCCGTGGATTGTGACATTATCGAAATCGAATCTCTATAAAAGTACAATTCAGCGACATATTACGCTCCAAATATGATAAATGTTTCTACATTACATCGCGTACTATCCGAAACCTCTCGTCGGCCTAAACGCAAGTTGCACGCGCGCGCGAGAAAGACACGCCGCCGCCGTCGCCTTCGCGCGCGGCCGTTTTAACCGAGTGACCCGAGTGACGTCGGCGGTGATGGCGACGGCGGCGACGGCGGCGACGACGGCGACGGTGACAAGTCGATTAGACCGAAGCGCAATGCTCGACTTCCGGTTCAGCTGTTCGCACAAAGATCCGCATGTTTCTCCGATCCGCGTGCCTCGCGCCACGATGTTCGATGTTGCCCGTCGTTCGTTTCCGCGCGCGGTACACTTCGCCCCGCTTCGTCCCACTCGCGGCCATCCCCACTCCCGCACAGTCCCTCTCTGTTTCTCTTTCCCTCTCTTCCCCCCCTCTCTCTCTCTCTCTGCTCGCTCGCTCGCCCTACCTCGTTCCCCGCTGGCGCTCGGAAGGTAGGCGCACCTCGCGCGCGCCCGAGAATTTCCTCATTGACCCGCGCGCTCCGTATTCCACCTGCGACTCGTCATCGCCGTTATTAATATCGTTCCCCGTTGCCGCCGCGCGGACCTCGTTATCGTTCCCACGGCGGGAATCGCGCTACCGTCGTCACCTCCGTTTACACCGCCGCCACCGTTGGCGGCCGCGTCGTTGCCCCTTCCGAACGAAATTGGGCAGCCGGCAGATTAACGACCGGCGGATTTCCCAAACGATCGCGATATTAACAATTACGTAATTACGCAATCATAAATAATAAACAGCTAAGGCTTAAATAATTATCGGTTATGACTTCTCAGTAAGAAAATAGACGTGCTCGCAGTTATAATTGGATCGATAATATTTCACGCGACGTTGTAAAATATCAAGATCCGGCTTATGTTATGTTTGTTGATTAATGGAAAATTACGAGTGAAGAATTCCACGTCAGCCCGCGTCGCGGACAAGTTAAATACAATTGTTAATTGTTTCCTTTTACGACAGGCTTTCGCATCGCGATGCCGCCACGTTCAGATCGATATTTACGGAGTTATTTTATATTTCACGCGCAAACGAGAGAAAAAAGGGGAAAGAGAGAATGAGAGAAACAGGAAGAACTCCGAAAAACACTCGTGGAACGATTGGGGAAAAAAGCCCGAGGTAGAAAACACTCTCTCGTCCGACAAGATTACAACGAATGATCTCCCTGCCCCCCCCCCCTTCTTCCACCCTCTTTTACGCGGCCAGACGCGACTTCTCCGATACCCTTCGCGTGCCGCCGCCTCCTCGTTCGCCTCTTCTCGTCGTCGTTCCCATCCGAGTCGTCGAGTGTCGAGACCTCGATGCCCGAAGATCCTCCTCCGAAAGTAAGAGCGAGCCGACACCTCTTCTCCTGCAACAAAATATATCTCAAGTCAACGCGATGCCGATCGACTGAATCGAGTAAAGACTAACGATGAAATAATTATTCTAAGAATCGAGATTACCATAATTTCGGTGTGGATTTGAACTTTTTGTCCGGTCTATAAAATTATTCCTCTTTTAGAATCATTACCCGGAATAGAATTCCCCAGTCCCCGATTAGAATTAATTTGTGGAGTTCTCCATGTGAATGAAAGAAAATAAAGGACAAATTGTGTCTAATTTGGACGTAGGCTGTTGAGACGGAAATTTAAGAGGATTCTGAATTTTTTTGCCGCAGCCGAA